GGGCAATGAAGCCGAAGGTAATCAACAGGACGCGGCCCAGGTCTTATCAGGTCGCCACAGAAAATGGCAACGTTCTACGACGTAATCGCCAACATCTGCTAGCAACGAAAGAACAGTTCAACCGTTCCGAAGAATGCTCGTCGGATGAAGAAAACTCAAACGACGAGACACCGGAACAACTTCAACGACCCTCAGGCAGCGTGGCCACGACAGCACCAGTGCTGAGAAAGTCCACACGCAACAGAAGACCTCCAGAACGGCTCGGCTATGGCGAGAACTTTGTTCAAGGCTCATGACAAGTGTTCCCGCACCGAGTGTTGAGCTACTACGCTGTCGACATGCTGTACTTTCTTTTGTTTTTCATTTCTTTAAAAAAAGGAAGATGTATCGTGTTTGCTATGTCACGGGCACGCGCCGAACTTATTATCGGAGCTCACACTCTGTTATCGTGACGCACGCTCTGTAGCAACTTCATTCTTTCCCTCTTCTTTACTTTCGTTATGGAAAGAAGGTAATTCTTTCGATAACACCCTATACAAATACGATAACTGAATAAACAAACGTGTTCTTATTCTTCTATGAACTGGCTCGTTCGTGTCTTCCATCGAAACACATCGAAACACGGCTTACGCGAAAGAGCATCTGCCACAAAGTTGTCTTCTCCCTTCTCGAAAACCATGGTGAAGCTGTATGCGAGCAAACGAGCATACCATCTTGCAATCCGGAATGGTCGTTGGCCAGTCCCCTGCGAGCCCAATATTCTCAACAGTGACTGATGGTCGGTCTGCAGCGTAAAATGCCGACCCCACAAAAAAACGCGCCAGTAATCGCTCGCCCACATACAGGCCAACGCCTCACGCTCTCCAGTGGAGTACTTCCGCTCCTGTGGCATTAGGGTTCGAGAAGCAAAGGAGATGGTCACAAGGTCTCCATTATTATTCTACTGTAAAACAGCTCCAAGGCCGTATGCTGAGGCGTCAGTTGTCACGACCACGGGCAGCTTAGGGTCGAACATTTGGAGAGGCTGACAGGAAAGTAGGGACTTCAGTCTCTGAAAACTGTCTTCCCGAGCAGCCGTCCAGCGGAAAGGTTCACCCTTGCGTAGTAGCTCACGTAGTGGTTCTGCCAGCTCTGCATACCAAGGGATGAACTTGGCGTAGTAGCCGACCATGCCCAGAAACGAACGTAGCATGGTGACGTCTGTAGGTGCTTGAGCCTTGACATTCGCGTCAACATGGCTTTGCATGGTTGACACTCCCCGCTCGCTGACAACATGCCACAAGAATGGCAGTTCCCGAACATTAAAGATGCACTTGTCGTTCAGCTTCAAGCCCGTTTCGCTGATGCGACGGAGAACTTCATGCAGATTCTTGAGGTGTTCCTCTTCGGTAGTTCCAAAAACAACAATGTCATCCAAGTAGCATTGTACTTGTTGACATCCCTTCAGTATTGTAGTCTTCATTTTCTGGAACGCAGCAGAAGCCGATTCCAACCCAAAACGAAACCTGGTGAACCTGAAAGTCTATCGTGGGTTATGAACGCCGTCATGTCTCGGCTTTCCGGGCACAAAAGTACCTGATGGCACGCGCTCGATAGATCCAGGCGTGGGAAGTACTTATAAGTCAACGCATCGATTCTCTCAATGACACCGGCCTGTAGAAGTCACTAAAGCTGTTTGGAGACCTCGTCCCTGGCAGAAAAAGGAACTCTTCGCAGCTTGGCAGAGACGAGCTGAACTCCTTGACGCGTCTTCACCTTGTGAGCGAACCCCTTCGCGGTACCGAGGATGCCGTCAAAAAGGTGCGCGAAGTCATCTACCAAATTTCGAGGGAGTCCAGATGGTACGCACGTGGTGTTGAAACATTTCAACGCGCTACCGCTGATCTCAAAGGATAGACAAGCGATGGCGTCGATTTCGAGTATGTCCGTACCGTTCGGGACAACGTAGAAGCGTACAGATGCCTTGCGCTCTTTGTAACCGACAGCAGCAACAAAGCAGCCTGCTACGGCGATCTTCTGCCGCGAAAAATCGAACAAACTTGCGGACGTCCCTTGCAGCTGGTAAGCAGAACTGAAGTTTCTCTTGTACGTATCTTCCGATATTATGGAAACTGCTGACCCTGTGTCAACCAAGAATGATAGGGGTGTTCCTTCGACTTGAACTGGAATATAGATACCGCTCTTCGGTTTATCGTGCACGTGAAGAATACTAAGAACGTCCTCGTCAGAGCCATTCCAGCACGCAACTTCTCTGACAGTACCCCTTTTGCCAGTGTGACTGGCGCTACTCTTGCAGACAGCACGAAAATGTCCGACTTTCCCACATCCAGCACACTTTTCCCTCTTGCTTTGCATGTAGCGGAATTTGCAAGATGCCTCCACGACCCGCAGCGGTAATATTTCTTCGAAGTGGAGGATGAAGGTTCTCCCTGTGTACGCTGTGGTCGCTCGGCATGCGGAGACTTAGCGTCCACATTCTGCACCGATGAAGACGATACGAGCTCTTTGGTGTACCGGACCGCTTCCTCGGCAGTCGGCCGATGGAGAACGCCCGGTCCAGGGTTAGACTACTTCCTTCCGGTAGTAGATGCTCCCTTAACTGCTGGCTCGTAACTAGTCTTCGCCACCAGCTGATCTCGGATGAACTCGTCCGCCATGAGTCTGAACTCGCAGTCCGCCGACAGGTCTCGCAACTCGGCAACGAATACTTCGACAGATTAACGTGGTAGCTGCGCTCGCTGCCTGAAGCGGTGTCGTGCGACGACCACGTTTGAAGTTGCCGCGAAGTAGGTCTCCAGGGCCGCCAAAGCGACATCGTACTCGTCCGGCGCAGTCGGTGTCTTCGTGCCGGCAGTTGGTTCCTTCAATGGTACCGGAGGATGCGTCTCCGGAAGTGTGCAGAAGACTTTCTGTTCTTTAACACCGAGGCAATGAAGAAGTAAGGCTTTCCGCCGAGCAGGTCCATGGGCGTCGCCCCTCGTAGCCAGCAGGTAATTTTGGAGCACCCGCCGCCACTGTTCCCATGGGATAGGAGGTCTCCCGGGAGCGGGAAGGAAAGGTACACGGCGGCACCGCTAGGCTCATGCTTGTCGGTACATCACTCGTCGCCAATCTGTTGTACGCTGCCGTGGCAGCTGAAGTTGACCGACCTGCTCCAGTACCGGTGAAGAACAACCTATATTCGGTCCTCTTCTTCTTCAGACTAGAAATGCGACAGTAGCGCCGCCACAACAGACACGAAGAGCATGATTGGATCCGAATCTTCGCCCAACGCTGACGGCAGGCCTCGTGCCCAGTCATGGCCTCCTCTATACTGACAAAGCCAGGCAGATCGCCACGAGAAGCGGCCGCCGAAATGGCAAAGGTGGAGCGGCAGACAACGGATGAGAGGATGATGATGAGATGATGATGGTGGTGGTTTGCGGCTCTTCCCTTTTGAATCGGACGATCCCGTAGAGTTTGGGACCTAGCTAGTGGGGATTCGGTTATCCCCGTTGGTGAACTAGCATCCACCAGTTCTCTAATCTTCGCTTCGTGGTTTCCACCGGCTCACGCCACCCTCCGTTGGTTATAGGTGTAGCGTCGGCGTTGTTGTTGCCGTTAGTCCCATCCGCAGAGCCTGCCACTGAGCTGGAAGCAGACCCAAAGCCGAGTGCCTCTGCCAGTGCGAGCTCCCGGGTTGCCTGTCCACACTCCGCCGGTTGAACTGGTTGCAGAACGGTGCACGACAGCACAAGGTGTTCAATTGTGTCATCCGCCTGACCACACACACGGCATGCTGGAGATTCCACCGTCTGGTCTAAGCGACGGCGATACACCTGCCCTCCTGCGCGTGACTCAAAGAGGAGCCGGCTGCCCAGGCTGTTGTCGTATAGTCTAGTCTCTGCCGAAATTTCGTGCTTATATCGATGGTACATATATAGCGTCGACTTTCGGCATCTCGCTGCGGCGAGACGCCGAAACAGACTTCTCCCGCGCTACCGCTTCTTTTCTCGTTGGGTTTGAAAGTCATGTTTCGGGTCCTCGCCGTTGCAAAAGCTGTGTTCCGACGTCCAGGTCCCCCAGAAATGGCTCTTTGATGCTCTGTGCTACCAGATCCTCGCGCTCCAAATCTGAGATTGGGCACTCTATTTCTCCGTCGTCGAACTGTCAGGCTTTGTGAGTATAAAGGAGGCTATGGCCCAATACATGCTCAGGGTGTAATCAAGCAACGGTGGGCAGGCGTTGGCAGAAAGGGTGGAATCCGATTGTTGCGGTTCGAAAACTTAACTCCCCGAGATTGTGACGCGGCTCCAGGAAGCACATGCGGTACCGTTTTTGCTCTGTCGCAGACTGTTTTAACATTTCTGGAGGACGAACTTCGGGGCCCGCTGCCCGCGGAAATTAAAATGCGTGTGTCGAAAATCGAAGGATGTGCTCTCTGTGTTCTGTCGTTCTACGTTCAATTCTTTCTCAATTTCGTACACTATATGTAACCAACGTCATCTCAAACTTGTTTCCGAGTTAACTTGACTCGAAAATGTATAAATTTGCGAATCAAGTATATTGCCAAAAACACATTTCCAAGCTCGCTATAAATCTCTCGAGCGTGGTCAATAAACAATATACATATTTATTACAAAAAATTATTCTTCCCTCGACTTCACGAGATAAGGTGACGTACGCGGAACTATATTGCGCAAATTTCAACGATATATCACTCGAGTCTAAGGATGAATGAATTGAATTGTGTGCGTATGGTCTGTGACTGTGTGTGTGTGTGTGATCTTCATTAATAACCGTTGCAAAACAAGAAATTCCTATGCACGCTTACTTGTCTCCGCATCGCGATGTGCTCAGTACACCCATCAGGCCTTGATCAAGCTCGTCAATTGTAATGAGGGCGATCGGAATTTATCAAATGGACCTAAAAGCCAAAAAAGTGTGGACACCATTCTTTCCTTTTTTGAAGACAATCTGCGCCACAAACGATATGTATTCCAAGTTAATCCTAGCAGCACTATAATATATATACATAGAGATGCTTCACAGAACGCAACCAACGCAGAAGCTTTACGCGCGAGCTCACTCCTCTTAGTTCAGTCATGGAAGGTCGTACTCTTTCCACAACTGCATCACATCACTGCCTGCCGTTTTGGTCTCAACGCGCTGCTTCATTGTTTCGATCTGTTCTGGCGAAAAATGGTTCCTCCAGTCTCCAACTACGCCCTTACGAACGAAATCGCCAGTCATCGGCTTCTTTGCTGCCGCTTCCAACGACTCTTTGGTGATTTGCAGCGATCCGTCAGTTCCCACGGCCGGCGGGACATCAATCGCCGGTGACTTCCACGCGTCGTTAAGTGCCTCCTTCATGTTCGACACGCTGGACACCTCCACGATGCGCTTAAGCAGCGCTGGGTCACTTCGCAACCTCTCGCCGTACTCCTTACCCAGGAAGTCAGCCATCTTCAGCACCCAGGACGCCGTGTCCTTCTTGAGGTCTTCGTAAGTCAAGAAGAACACGTTGAGGTCGTTCCGATGTTCGTACCAGGACAACAGGTGGTCAAAGTAGTCGCCGAACTCACCTTTTCCTTCCACGAACAAATCGAAAAACTGGTCGAAGGTACCGTCCTCGAAAAAGTAGGCGGGAGTGTTCTTCATGTGGTGGTAGAAGGAGACCCAGCAGTCGTATGGGTTCCTGGTGACGTAGAAGTACTTGGCCTCTTTCAAGTGAGGTTGCTTGTCGAAAGGGAAGTGCGTCTTGATGGCGCCCGGCCTCGGCATCTCTTCGGCGCCTTGAGCTCCGGTGAAGAGCAAAAATGGTGACTTGGCCTCGAATTCTTCTGTGTCCCTCGGAGGAACACCACCACTAAAGATGTTGCAGAGGAGGTACTGCATCCACGTGGTACCGCATTTGGGATAGCCTACGATAAATACATCATCTGGCCTCGGCTTATAGGCGAGGGCTGAGCGGACGTTCTCGTCGCTGAAGTAGTAGCTGAGGTAGAGTCCTTCGATCTCTCGGTACACCGAAATGGACTTTCTGGTCGCTTGCATCCTCGTTTTCTTGAGTCCCGACTACGGCCTGCTGGAACCAGAGAAAAAAGAAAAGGGCAGCTTAGGCTTGAGAGTAACTGCACATGGTGGCCAGTTATCAGAAGCTTTATCTGAAATCATAGTAAACGCTTTTCCGTCCTCCACAAATGTTTAAACAGTTCGCGACAGAGCAAATCAATATTACATGAGCTTCTTAACACCGAATGTAATGCTGAGGAAGTCGCAGTTTTGAATTATGACGATCGGCAATTGCGTCTGCTCTGCACAAGCACCAAAATGGCGGCGCCCGCAACAATGTCGGGGAACAGAGTGCGGATACTCTAAGCGCAGCTCATTTAGTCTAGATGTAGCTTATTAACCTGTTCGATAACCAGAAGAAAAGGACCACTCATTTAACTCTTTATTCTGATTTTTATTCGTGAAGCTATATATCCAATTATAGGCATTTTTTGAAAGTCAATCAATCAACGTTGTCGGTCAGCATTTCTTAGGCACGAAGCCTGTGATTGGATCCGAGTCCTTGCCGATCGCTGACGCAGCACTCGTTCCCAATCTAGAGTGCAATTACGATCGGTACGTGCCTGAACAATGGCCGACACGGATAATTGAAGCAGCAGCTATTTGATTGTGTGCACCTTTGGAAAGGTCCTATTACCATTCGGTCATATCCCCTCTAGATATCTAACACTCGATATCATTTTTTTTTTGTTCCGTTAACCTTAAGGCTTCGTTTACATGAATATTGCGACCGAAGCTCCTTGAATAGACCTTTTGCAAAATCGAATCGATCCTAGCGGCGTATCCCCCCGCAAGGCGTCTTGAGTAACTTTTTGGCTATCGTTTCGGTTTCGATTTGCCAATCTCAATTCACGAAATCTCGTCACGACCAAATACAGTGCATACATTTTCAAATACTTACGTGACTTGTTTAAACTAAAGGTGCTGTCTACCAATAGGAAGCATGCATGTTTAGAACGCATGCCCAGAACGGGTTCACATTCTTCGTTGCAGAGGGCTTAGCGGAGGTGAAAACGCGGTCCACGAGAACTCCCTAATGTCGGAACTCGCCCTATAAAGTCTTTATAGGAAAAAACAAACAAAAAACGGGAAAGCTAAGCTAGCTCGGTCCTTGTTGTTTTGCTAGATACTTCGCTAAACACAGTGATCCAGAGCCCGATTTTTTTTTTTTTTTTTTTTTTTTTTTTTTTTTTACGGGCACTGACGAACATGGCAAACAGTAGGTATTACACGAAAGCACTGTAAAGCTCACTATAAAAAATATCTTTTGGGGATACTTTGTAAAAACAAAAAGAACACCGTAAAGATGAGTCGGGACAATTAGAATAGAATTATTATTTGCTACTTGTCCTACGTATTCAGGACGTTACCTTTCTTTCGTTAAATGACCTTGTTCCTATTACCGCAAATAAGTAGCGAAATAGCGTTACTGGATGGTTCATAAAGCCTAACGCGTTACTGAGATTCGTTTCCGTCATGCAAATGTAACACATTACCGTTACATGATTGCTTATTAAAACTTATCGTAAAAAAAAAAGACAACTAACATTCCAGTAGCATTGGTTCTGTCGGCTGCATACCCAACAAAAATATTTTACAGCTCTCTCTTTTTTTTTTTTTCTTTTTTCAAATGGGGTACAGTTGCTTTCTCAATGTCCTCGGGAAAATACATACACCATGAAACAAAAAATTCGGCGGTAAAAGACGAGAATTTCGCCGCCAGCAGTGTTTGAAACTGCGCCTACGCAGGCTGCGCCTATCGAAATCCCAGTCCACTCGGTTAGGGTTAGCCGGGACGTCGGTGAGAGTCTAGCCTCAAACCCAGTGACTGGGCTCGAAAACGGTTTGTTGCCCGTGGGGTCGAGCGTTTCTTGGAAAGGTGTACAGACCAACTACATTCTCTGACGTATGATACGTATGGTATCGAACTTAAGAAGACAAGGTAGCGATCCTGGCGGCTGGTGCTAGAATTTCCGGCAAAAAGTACGATCGAGCGCAAGTGTCGCTGTCGTCGCAGAGTCCCCACTCCTGGTTGCCGAAGCTTCTGTGGACTTACGACTTCACATCGCTTAAACGTCTCACAAAACAGGCACTCACTCGATTACAGACCCAAAAACATGCACACAGCACTGAACCCACAACTATTTGTATTTCGTCTTCGTTTCCTTCTACAAATTCTTAAAAAACCTCGAGGGCCCACTTTTTCGGTCGTGGTAAACCCACCGGTAGCAGACGCATTTCAGGCACGATGAGAGCACAGTATGAATGCACGTTGCATTTACGCGGGGAGGCCGCCGCAACGTAGACGGATGAAGGCCACCGAATCCGCGCTTACAACCACCAACGTCAAACGGACTGAAATAACAATCTGTTAACGGGGGGCAGAAACATACCGATCGGGGACAATTATCTCCAGAGCGTTGTCTTCGCTGACCTTGTGAATGAGTTTCGTGCGATCTTGTCAGACGAGTTTTGCAAACTGCGCAGCTGGAGCCCGTGTGTGTTCCGTCGCTTCCCCTCCGTATCCTGGGCCAGCTGCGTAGAGGCCTCATCCGATTCCCGAGCGGATGTAGGTGTTTTCTTTGTTGTTTATTTTTTACCTCGAAGTCAGGTAATTGCAATGTGCAACGTTTGTTCGGATGGGTGACATCCAACAGTGTCGCGAAATGGGCACCCCCATTCCGTTTCAACATATATATTCCGGGGAATGGGAGCCTCCAACAATTCCATTTCTTTCAACACCTCGGAATGAAAACAGTGGACCCATTCCCACTCGTGAAATGACTGAAATCCCCCATTCCGTTCATTTAATTCCTAAACGTGAAAAAAAAAAAAAAAATGGAAATTAAAAGCCACATTGTACTACTGTAAAGAAGCAGCGTAAAAGTGCTCACGTTATGAAATTCGGAGACGACTGCAAAAGTATACGCAAAAGGCTCCTCAATGCATTCGTTATACTAAGCCGAAGTGTGGTCGCAATAAGCGTTTCGTGGCATTTGGTGTCACTGTAAAAGTCGATTGCGCGATCAAGTAAAAGTTTTGTGAGTCGCAACAGACGCCAAAAATTAAAACCACTCATTTTCCTCGCAGACAGACCGCTCACAACATATGCATACATGGGTAGAGTGTTTTTTGTTTAATAAGGCCATAGCCTCTATACTCACAAAGCCCGGCAGTTCGACGACGGAGCCATAGAGTGCTCGGTCGCAGATTTGGAGCGCGAGGGTCTAGTATAGCACAGAGCATTTCTCGGGAGTCTGGTATTCAGCTCACGGCTTTTGCAGGGGCGAGGGCCCGAAGCATGGTTTTCATACCGGACGAGAAAAGAAACGGTAGCCCGAGGAACGCGAGAAGCACGAGCGGACATTCCAACGCGCGGGAGAAGTGTGTTTCGGCGTCTCGCCGCAGCGGGGCGCCCGCCATATAACTTTTGTCTGCCGCTCTATTTTTTTCATTTTCGGCGACCGTGTCACGTGACGATCTGCCAGGCTTTGTCAGTATAGACGCTTTACAGCAGCGGTGCATGGGCGCCGCCATAACTGACCTTCAGTTTTTGTTCCCTCTTATTCCGTTCGCTTCACTTCATCATTACCACAGCAGGACAGGTTATTGCCATATAAGATGCTACTGTGTTCTTGTGCCCAGCATAGGCCCTTGTGAAGACCCGTCAACGCCCGCTTCAGTGGCTCGGCATCTCGGTAAGACAAGAGAAGGGCGGCTATGGCGGCTCAATCTGGCGCGTGTGTCTATAAAGGAGGGTGTCAGGTTCTTTATGGTAAAAAGAAAGGAAACTGAGAGGTCCGTCTGATTTTTGATATCAAAGAAATATATTTGCGCCCAGTTACTGTTCTACTTTCCAAATCCCCGTAAAGAAAAAAAAAAGAGGAAACTTATTAGCAAATAAATAAAAGGGCGTACATCCAAAGTTCGACTCGCCGAGGTTGGCACTGGTTTACGCTGGAGGCCGGTCTCGTTTGGCTCCAGCTGCCGGCGTACCGATGGTGACCAGTCAACCGGTTGTTGGGATGGCTCTGCCGGGTTGCTCTTGAGCCAGGCTTGCCGTTCAGAGTTGACGGTGAGGACAGGTCGGCAGACTCCTATGTACGACAGCTTCGCCGGTGTATTCCGGAGCCAAGCTTTTCCGAATGCGTCCGATCTCCGCCCTCAATCTCCTCGTCCGCCCTCTTCTTCTTTTTTCTCCGTTAGTAGTCCGATTTTCTTCCTCTTTTTGTCGCCGCATTGATGACATCATTACAGAGGGGTAAGGCCTTAAAAATGTCTAGTTCGTGCGTGGCGCCAAGAAGAGGCTATCTTCTTCTCTGCTTCGAATACTTGCCCAACAGCACCGTGCGCTGTTAGAAGCATGCCGGGTATACCTGTCCCAAATCTCCAGGCACTGCGGCAAGTACAGAAAACGGCTGACAAAGTGCAATCGGTACGCGGCGCCAGCACAAGGGAGTGTAGCACCATATTATGAAACCTGCCTTAAAACGTCAACCGTATACTTTTGCTGTACGACCCTTGCGATTTCTTAACATATTCAATCCAATTCTTTATTTCTGTTCCACGCAAACACTATGCTCCGTTTCACGATAACTTGGCGAACTGTGGAGGCTGCGGCTAACTTACGACGTCTCAGTCAGGTCTACTGCGGCAAAATCATCTACAACTACGTACGACGCTCCCTCTCTGACAGAACGGCGGCTCTTACGCTAGGGAATATCAAGTCGGGAGAATAGAAGCTCGGACCGAAGAGAATACCTCAAGGCTCCGTCCTGTCTCCGTTGCTCATCATCTTGGCGATGCGGAACCTGCCAAGGGCACTAAAAAAGGTGCGTCAGGTGGAGCACGCCATCTACGCGGTCGACATGACACTGTGGTGTTGTTCCGGGAGCGACAGGCGGGTCGAGGACAATCTTCGGAGGGCGGCTGACATCACGGCGAAGTACGCTCAGAGCTGCGACCATCGGTGTGCCCCAGGAAAATCCGAACTGCTAGTTCTGGGCAACCTGCGAAAGAAAGAAGTGGATAACATCAACAATATAATGGACGGACAGGCGGTGACCGAACTCAAGGAGGTGAGGCTCTTATGACAGCACATCCCGCCGGGTTCGGGAAACAAGACGGCGCTGGACAGACTGGAAACGATGGCTACGCAAGTACACTCTCAGAATAAAAAAAAAAAAAAAGGTGTAATCTTACACCCCTTGTTCCGTATAATACACCCCAAAATTTCAGTTCGACGTACAGCGCACTGACTTCGATCTGACGGTACTAACTTTCACGAGGGGATTGAAAGCCGTGTGGTACGACTTATTAGAATAGATAGTGTACGTGTTACAGACTACCAAAAAAAATTGGGGTTTTTCTGGTTCGACTGCGAAACCTCAGTGTTTTCTTTCTCTGGTCTTTGATACATACTTTAGCTATTTAATAAGTTATATTGCACCGTTAAATTTTGGGCCGTCTGTTCGATCACAGTACACTGTAGGCCGAATTGAAGTTTTGGGGTGCATTATATGGGACAAAAGGGTGTAAGGTGATACCCTTTTTTTAGGGGCGAAGCTCCTTAGGGCCTAGCCTTGTCCGTCCGTCCGTCCGTCCGTCCGGCCGGCCGGCGTCCGTGCTCACATAAATGGATTTCTAGTCCATCGGCTTAACCACTCGGCCACGACTGCGGGACGAGTAGGGGCCTCTGAGATGTGGTAGTAACTCAAGATCTGAGGATGTCATGGATGAAACGTTGCACGTATCCGCTCAACGTCTATACAGGAGAGGGCGCTGCGGTCAAATGCATATATAATTGCGTTAAACTTTGCATGCATTGGCTCACCGTTTATAGACGAGAGGGCGCTGCGGTCAAATGCTCAAATGCGTATATAACCACGTTCCATACCAAACATTTTCTTTCTGACATGGACCGTTGACTTAAGCGGTGGAGATGCGTTCCCACGGCTTCTAGCGGATCCAAGCTGATCCGCTATAGAAGAACAACTGGCTCTGCATTTCACCGACCATAAAGCAGTAATAATGAAGTCGAAACGCAACCCGGAACTCAGCACTACCTATGAGCAATAAACAAAATATCAGCACCATCAGCATTACCTATGAACAATAAAATCAGTATCATCAGCACCACCAGAACTTCGCCCCAATCAACATCATTCACCACGTGGAGATGCGGTCATTTTTTTTTTTTTTTTGAGTATAGGTGGAACGATGAGAAGGATAAGAAACAAGATTGGGAAAGCTCAACAGAATACCGAGGAAGGCGTACAAGAACGCTTTGGGATTGCCGAAACGGACGGCCACGGACAAGCTACTCAGACTGGGAGTTTACAACAGCTACACGATGAGGAAATAATCTCGCAGTTGAAGACACTGGACACCACTGACAACGGAAGGTGGCTTCTAGATACGCTTAATTGGGATAGCGGTCCCCGGGGCACCCAAGAGACCGAGGGGGCAGAGAAGATGGAATACCAGGTACCAAGTTTACAATAGGACAAATCCCACGGAACATGCACCCGGTGTAGGACGAGGGACGGCGGAAGGCGCGGACTGCGGGCACTCGCTCGGTCTTGGGACACTAGGTAAGGGACTCTCTACGTGGACGCCTATGGCCCTGCGATTGGGTTGACCACGACTGCCCTAGCAAAAGCTGACGGAGAATTGATAAGAGTGGCATCAGTGCGGGTAGGCTCGGTGAAGCAAGCGGAAGAAGCGTCCATAGCCCTCGACATCAACTGCAACTCCAGAGCCACAGTGATGACCGACTCGCAGAAACACCGCAGGAAATTCGCCCGAGGTATCCTTGGACGGCCAGCGTTACGCATTCTAAAAAAAAAAAAAGCTAACTCTTGGGGATACATGTCATTTGGGTCCCTGGACATGTGCGGCCCACAGGAAACGAGGCGGCTAATGCCGCAGTCCGAGCAGCTCTATCCTTGGACTCGTCTCCATACCCCGAGGGTCCATCACCAGACATGCCGTATAACACGTACTTGGCGACACATCGTCAAGCGAGGTGGCAGTTTCTACTACCCAACAAAGGCTTAAACAAAGAGGAATAACATCTCTAGAGAAGACTACAAACGGACGCGATCATCATACCAGCAAAACATTACACATGGTATCCAAAGCGCTTTTACACGCCGAGATGTTCCTTCTGCGACGCAAGATGGGCCGACGTGCATCACCTAGTATGGGTATGCAGGGATACACTGCCTTACACCAATTGAAGAGCCTTCGACAGAGAAGTGGGAAGCAGGACTGCGAAGCGAGGATGCCAACAAGCAGCACATGCTTGTAGGAAGTGCTGTCGCAGTCACCACTGCAATTGGAGCCCTGGACTAAGGGCACCCCACCTATCTTCTCTACCACTTTACTTCTATGTCCCCCCTTCTATTCCATCTGCCATTAAACAGAGTCTTCAACAACAAGAACAACACACGTAATACCTTGAACTTCAACACACGCATGGAATGCGCAAAAAAGATCCATTGGTGGATGCTTAGGGAATACGTAAGCATGACCCTTAAGAACGGCACGCACATCCCCCTTTGAGAAACGATGACGCTGAACCCTTCAATCTCTTATTATAGCTTTCTCTTTTGCTTCCTCCATTTCTTGCTGCCTCTTTTTGGCTTTGTTATGGGGTCAGTTTTAGCGTTTCCCAAAGGGGGAAGTGTCTGGCATTTCCCCAGGGTCATGTTAACGGATTTCCTAAGTACCCACCAATGAATCTTCCTTTAATTTTTGGTCACCTACTTGGACCATGCAGTGCTGGTACTTGGTTCACACTTCATTTTGTAGCAGAAACCAAGGCATGCGTGCTCCGCACACCTGCGCGCTTCCCTTTCCACTTTTTGTTCACACACATACGCCATCAGCTTTTCCCTGTCAAGTGGGAACTGCTAACTCATTAATAATAAATCAGGGCGATGTTCGAGAACACAAATATACTGAAAAAGGACCACTGTAGTCGAGGTAAACAAACACGACGGCACGAGCGTTTCTACTGTCTTGAGGGTGCCTCCACGACAACGCTGCACGGGTAGATGGACCTTCCCTTCTAAGACGTGCTGGTTTATCATGGCGAAACACGACGAGAATTCAGTCAACGATAGCGTTCTACACGGAACGATGAGCTTCGACCACGCCGACAATCATGACGAGCAGACGCCATCTTTTTTAGCAGATAGCAGGAACCCCGACCGGCATGCAACGCGCGCGGCCGAGCTACCCTCGACCTATGATTCGTCTGTCGGTATGGTCACTCCGTTTGTTCCCAAACGTAGCGAAAAAGTTCAGCCCGGCTCAACTCCTTGCGGTGCGAACGAACGCGAACGAACGGCCGTTTGGCGCTTCGTTGCTACGGCAACCTGTCGTTCCAACCGGTTGCATTTGTTCCTATGCCTACGGAGATCTGAACGCAAGTATATGATATAGCTTGACCAACGAGTCCCATTCGGGTCGACGGACCACGTGGGAGTCGGATTGTTGGCTGCGGTATGGGTTTCCCACAAATCATATGATTAAACGATTTAATAAATTGGTCGCCGCCCTGAAAATTGGCTCATGTTGAAGTACTGTGCTCTCAATCAGCTACAAAGTATCAATACGACTATTATACCATCTTAAAACATCGGCGTATGTAACGGAGAAAATCGTGCTATAGTGGCGGCGATTGAGTGATTATATACGATAGTCAGTTACAGAACATATCGTGTGCACCCATGTCAGAAGTTTTTGCGTGTGCATTGTTCCGCGAGGCCCTTGGAACACCAGTCGTGGGTCTTCCTTTATTAAGTCTAACAAAGGGCAAGCGGTATCTAACACTGATAAGAAGAGAAACTGAATTAGGGAGAGGAGATGAGAGCATCTGGTGACGTCAGAGCGCCAAGCTTTGATTGGAAGGATCACTGACTCGACGCTTTGACGGCATGCATGCCCTCATGTTCTCTCCTTCAATTTTTATTAGAGCAAGATACCAATCACCCTCCTAATTGGTTAAATTTATTAAAGGAAGACCAATAATTAATGTTCCAAGTACACGCCACTTCATTATTTTTTTTTAAATCTAATCGAATTAAAAAGCAACACCCTAAGTGTAGTTCTCGTGTGAAAAAAAGCTTTTCCAAGTAAGTACTGTTGAAAACCGTATTTGCGTCGTTATATGATTAAATGACAAAAAAAAACTCTTTAGCCGTTTTTTTTCTTATTCCTTCTAGCATTTTGAGCTAATTCTTGGTAAGTGCTAAAGCCCGGGTCCCTGAAATGCCTCCTCAAGTCTACTGGCTCATAGAATGCATTCGCCTCAGCTACTACTTCAGCAGCGACAAAGTCCACACTGCCTTGGCCTACAAGCCCCAGCCCGATGACGTCTTCATCGTAAGCTATCTTAAATGGGGAGCAACCTGGGTACGCCAGCTCTTGTTCGCCATCTTCACGGACGGCGCTCCTCCGAGGGGTATATTCTAGCTATTTCGAAGCACACCCTTCCTAGAATCTAGCGGAGCAGAGGACATAAAGAACATGCCCAGACAGGAGCCATCAGTGCGCACTTCGGCTTCGGCAAGCACCCTTACTCGAAAGACTCCGAGTACATATATATCGCAAGGAACCCCTACGATTGCTGCGGCTCCTACTTCTACTATACCAAGAGCTTCCCGGCTTATTTTTTCCGGGAAGGTACCTTCGACGAGTTCTTCGAGACGTTTGTCGGGGGAGAAGTCGAGTTCGGGGACTAATTTGACCACCTGCTCTTCTGGTACGAGCACAAACACGATGCTGCTCCTCTTGACATACGAGGGCCTCAAGAAGGATACTCAAGCCTGGCTATTAAAGATTGCCGACTTCTTTGGACGAGAGTCTGGCGAAAAGTTGCGAAACGATCCCAGGCTCGTCAATTCGATTCTGGACGTCTCTATAGCCTCGAAAACATGAGGAGGCTCTGCAGTACATGCCACGACTCGACGGAAGACCAAGCACACGTCAACGATGAGGGCCGGCCATGCTCACACGAGAGTCACCAGGACAAGCAGGTGACAAAGGCCCTGAAGAAACCGAGAACTGGCGAGTTTGTGCACGAGGGCACGGTCAGCTAGAGACTGGAGGAATCACTTCTCGCCGGAACAGGAGGCCAAAACGAGGAGTTGGATCGGCAAGAGAGCCGCAGGAAGCGAAGTGGTGCAAATGTGGAATGAAGACGTCCTTCCGTGACTAAACCGGGCGGGAAGTGAGAATTAAGAGGATATCAAAGAAAATGAGCCCATGCATTTCCTATGACAACTTTTTGGTACCTATTGGCGTCGGAGAGGTTGTATTCGAAAGATAATAATAACAATATTAATCATAATAATAAAAAAACTTTATAGCTTCACGGTATTAATATTTTCGATTTTGCGTTCATTGTCGTTTTACGCGTGGCCTCGAATACCAAGAAAAGAGCGAATTTATTTGTGAATCTATATCTGCTAATATACTTCCTCGGTGCACTGTCGTTACGAAATAGATTGTGGAAGTTTGCGCTTCGGTGGGGGGTCTCTCTGCAGTGGCGTCATCCCGTGATCGTGCTCGCTAAACTCCACGTGGCAGTGATCAATGAGTCCATTCAGTGCTGTACTACTTCGCCAAAAGGAATTCATTGCGCGGGGTTATAGTGGGCTGGAGCAGCTGGAGGGGGTGGTGTGCTCATTGCCTGGATCGGCATTTTAGCGGCGAGATGTTTCGGTGGCGCCCTCCTATGGTTCCCCCTTGTGACGCCATTACCTTGCGAACAACAAGTTCGATGGTGTTTGTAAATAGTATAGTGGAAGCCTGAAATCATTGCGCTCTCAAAGCAGCACTGCCAACACCGTCGAAATTAAAGTTCTTTCATTCCTCTTATTTCCGTCGATGGGAAATCCTTTGCTGACGTCATAGGTAGCGTTTTGCCAATCGTGGCAGACCGGCGAGAGCGACGTTTTCGATCGCGCACGCCGCCAATAGTAGGCTGGAAGTGATGGTGTTTTTTTGCTTTTCCGTATTGTGGCAGAAACGCCACCTGTGCTTGATCTGCACTGCGACGCTGATGCTATCAGTCAAGTCACACGTGGTACACGACGCCTTGTTCTAGCCAAATAGAGATTTTTTTTATTTAGGATGAGAAAGAAAGGAAGAGGCTGACATTGTTTGGATATTAGGTGAGCTCCAGATCTGTTTAGTTTTAGGCACCCGTATGTATTGTCAGAGCTTCTATAGACGTGTAGTCTTTCTCGCATGAACATAAGGAGCGTCGCAATACGGTGGCATTAGGTTCATCGCATTTTGGCAGGCTCCGGAATATCATGAATTGACTGATGAGCCCTCACCCAGCTATGACCGCACGTTTTCGCCTAGCCCACTTTAATCTTAGCACATTGAGACAAATAACTCGCGGCTTCAGGACAAGTGTGGGGACACTGAGGCCGAATTGATTCAAACATCATAGATCTGCTCAGCCAATCATCTACATGAGCCGCGCTCCTGCTTGTTTTGACAAGGCATCGTACAAGTGTGCGCATATACCGGGTGAAACAAGGAGACGGTAGGCTCTTTAAATCGACCGGAAAATTCGGTTTCTTAACCTATCGCGCTACGACTTTGTGCAGCGTTGCCCACAGATGGTGCATTTTTTTCGTAAAATTTGCAAAGAGCGGACTTACCTGAGGAAAAAGTAAAGAAAGAAAAAGGCTTAGCTTCTATGGAAACGCAGCGACGCCACCGGTGTGCAATCGACACGGCGCCGTTTTGCACGGTAGACAAGAGATGGCGCAACGAACGCCGCCAACGAACGGGCATACGGGCGCCGAGAGCCGGCCGAGGTATTCTTCAAAGGCTTTTTAGCAGACGATCTTTTCGACTCAAAAGCGACGCGCGTTCCGCAGGCGGCGACAGTCGCAGAAACAAAAAAGACAGGCGCGGTAACAACAAGGAACTGCAGTTCCTTCTCTGCTAATTACGCCGGCGCTCGGCGTCGTCTGCTCGTTCGTTGGCGGCAGTTGGCGTCGCGATTACTTGCGCCATCTCTTGTCTACCGTGCAAAACGGCGCCGTGTTGATTGCACACTGGTGGCGTCGCTGCGTTTCCATAGGACCTAAGCCTTTTTCTTTCTTTACTTTTTCCTCAGGTAAGTCCGCTCTTTGCAAATTTTACGAAACAAATGCACCATGTGTGGGCAACGCTGCACAATGTCGTAGCGCGATAGGTTAAGAAACCGAATTTTACGGTCGATTTAAAGAGCCTACCGTCTCCTTGTTTCACCCGGTATATCGCATCAGTCAACGAAGACGAAGATGAGGCTCAAGAAGAGTACGCTCTCACCGCGAGAGCGTTGTTTCTCATTCCAACCGAAGCCATAAGCAATGGCTAGCTTCTTTTCAACTTGAACTGTTGTGTAAATAAGCGCGGTTTCAACAGGAAGGATGTATTAGTGCGGTTGTGTAATCACAGCAACGTGGAGCACGTCAGACCTCAGATTAAGCGCAGATCGCGCTGGATAAGTTACCCCTCCACAACGTCAAACCAAATGCCACCGAATCTCAGAGGCAGATTGGCCCTTTCACTTTTGAAACCTTCACGAAGCCCAATTTGTTTTCCCTCAGACCCTTTCCAAAATTTAGTCTGGCCACTTTGATCACTATCATCATCTGTGGTTCAGTGGTGGTTCAACATGTGTACCGTACCAATGGCGGCCTTCTATGTGACTGATAAAGGAAGACGTTGAAGATGCTCTAGTTCTAGTTCTAAGAGCGTTTATTGATGCCATTAAGCAGGGAAAGGGGTGTAAGAACGCATCGGTGGCTAATAGTCGAGGCCTGGATGCGGCATACTATTTAAAATATGTACACTAAATAAACGATTCCAGCTTTGCCTCGTGGAGGAAGTCCAGGAGACTTCGCAGGATCGCTCGTTGTTGGTTCTCGTTTCCAGGGGGATGAGTCCAGCCTTCCAGAGTGGCAATGTTTTGAGGTCGAAATTTTGCCCTTTCTGCGTGATACTTGGGGCACACCCACACTTGGTGGTATGTGTCCGCCTTAGCGTTCATGTCGCACTGGGAACAAAGGCCAGACCTTTTGCCTTTGTTCCACGATGCGAGTCTCGCGGGTGATAGTGTTGCTTCTGTGCGGACTCGGGTGAGCAGAACCTGCCCTCGTCGTCCAAATCCCCGTGAAGGGAGCAGGGGATGTGCCGGCTCGGGCAGGAGCTCTTCAAGTTTCGCCTGGTATTCATTTTTTATCCCGGCCTTTTCTTCGGCGGGGTCATATTCTTGTGACTGCCAATCGACGATGGATGCTCGATCTCGAGCGGTCACGTCATATTGGTGATCTTGAAGTGGAAGCGTTTCATCTCCGGGCCCGCGGAAGGAAGGGGTAGCTAGGGCGTCGCGGGCCAGTTGATGGGCTTCTTCGTTGCCTGGGATCCCCGCATGACCAGGAACCCACTCGATTCTTATAAAGACACCCCGCGACCTAAGTGTCGTGGCGAGCTTTTTGATCTTGCGTACTTGGACGCTAGGGCTATTCTTGCTTCGACACTCTTTCACCGCCTCCTGTGAATCCGTAAAGATCCTGAGGTTCTCAGGGAGGTCGGTGGCTTGAGCGACGACCGTCTCTAATGCAAGGCGGATGGCTGCCAGTTCTCCTCCCCTTGTCGACACCGTAGGGGGTAATGCTTCAATTGCCTTGAGTCGAAGTGCTGGGAATACCACGGCAGCCGACTTGAGGGTGACGGGGCCTTCAAGCGATGCAGTGTCCGTATAAGCAGCAACTACGGTCTTGCTTTGCTTCCAGCTCTCCACCATTTTGTTGTGTGCTTTTACCCGGCGGGCCAGTTGTTTGGTGTCCCCTTTTCTGCATACCCTTAGAGGCTTGCTGCTTGTGATGGCCGCGAGGTCTTCCCACGGAGGCAGTTGTTTCTGCAGGGCTCTGGGAGGCCATCTACCGATTTTTTTAGGAGTCGCATGATGCCTCTTCCTTGCGGTGTCGTCTTAAGGCGTTCGTCGTGCGCGTTCCTTCTTGCTTCCACGACGTCGTGCAATTTGTTCAACTGCGCGTACTGCCTCAGTTTGACGAGAGGAGTGAAACGGGGCAGTCCAGTGATAACTCGCATAGCGTGGTTGTTCAAAGCTTCGAGACGTTCCCATTGCCTTGCTGTCAGCCAATAGTGGCGTGCTCCGTAGCATACCCGGGATACTACGAGAGCCTTGACCATTTTTTTGGCAATGTCTTGTGTCGCTCCTCCGCGTGCATTGCAGATCCGTCTGATCATGCTGAGCACCGAGTTGCACTGTTTGAGTGTGTCGCGGAGCCAAGCGTCTCCTTTGCCGTTCTCCTCGATGGTAATCCCCAGGATCTTTACCGAAGGGGATGGCTGGATTCGTTTCCCCGCCAGGACCAGGTTGAGTTTGGCTGCATAGTCCTCCTTCACGCGAATTCTCGGGCTGCGTACGACCGTGTAGTTCGTCTTTTCTGGTGCCGCCTGCATTCCCACACGGGCCAGGTGAGCCTCGATTATATCTAGTCCAGATTGTAGTATATCTCGCTGCTTTTCGAGATCGTCCCCATAAGCCCAGATCGAAACATCATCCGCGTATACGGTCAATTCTAGGCCAGAGATCTTACTGAGTTCGTGTGGTAGCGCCACCATCGTCAGATTAAATAGCGTAGGCGAGAGGACCGAACCTTGTGGGACACCCACGTGGTTCGCTCTTGGCGCGCTATCGTGCCTG